TGGTGGGACACCACCTCCTGCCAGCCAGGCACCCAGGAGAGACTGGGCCGGGGAGAGGTAAGCACTGGGGCCACGGCCACGCTATCTGCCTGATGGTGATTGGGGTGGTGGCTTGGAAAGGTTTAAAAGCTGCTGCAGGCAGGAGGGAGCAGTGGAGAAGCAGAAGATGGAGCTGGTTTTTTTTCGTGGTGTCCAGCTGGCCCTGTGTTGGCAGCCCTGACCCCACTGGGCACCCTGAGCTTGGGCAGCACCACTGATCTGTGCCCACATGTCCCTGTGCCGTCCCAGCAGCCGGTGGCGTTGAGGTCCCCCCTCATCCCAAAGGGTTCCTCCTTGACCATCCCCCTGTGACACTTGGCACTGTTCCTAACCCAGCAAACAGCACAAGGACTTATGAAGGCATTTATTTCCAGCACGACAGCGGGGTACAGGGGCATGGGCTAGTGCCGGGGGCAATGCTCAGGAAGGTGAGCAAGCAGGCAACTGGGAGTGCTGAGGGCCTGACCCTCCCCGGAGACGCAGGAGCATGAAGATGGTGCTCCTGGGCTGGACGTCGTAGTGTGCTAACGTGTGCCTGTCCTCCAGCTCCCTGGAGCCGTAAGTCAGGCGCTGCTGGTTGGCGGGAGGTCCCTGCCGAGTGTGGATCTGCTCCTTCAGGTGCCGGACAGTGTCAGTGGGCTGCACTATGTAGGTGGCGGTCCGGTTCTTGTCATCCTTCACAAAGACCTCCATAACCTGGGGCTCGGTCTGCAGCAGCAGCAGGACGGTGCTGTAGAAGATGCCATGGCTGGCCAGGGTGTTGCCATCTTGCAGGACGGAGGGACTCCTGCATGGCTCCTGCTGTGCCAGGCGCTGCTTGTACCAGGGGATGCCCCAGGCCTGCTCGATCTCCTCCTTCAGCTGCCTGATAGTGATGCCCGGGCTGACAGTCATACACAGGGTGGTGCCCACCAGCTGCATCACTTCAATCGTCACAGGCCGGGCTGGCTGCAGGGACAGAAGAATGGGTGGGCAAAGCTGGCAGGGATGGGGGGCTGTGATGCCTGCAGGCACAGGCAGCCTTACCTGCACATTCCAGGGCTGGGTGTCACAGACACAGAGCAGTGAAAGGTGTCGGGCAGCTTCCCGTGCCATCAGGTCCCAATTCTTGCCTTGGCCAAGGATCCCCGTCGGGTCGGCAGGGTCCAAGATGACAGGGCTACAAACACAGAGGGTGGGCACTGCTGTCAGCCCCAGGCAGTGCTGCAGGGCTGGTGGCACAGGTCACACCAGGCATGGTCCTCACCGGGGGCTGTGCAGCAGCCTCTTGACATGGGCGCCAATCTGGCTGTGCTGGAGCGAGTAGTACATCTCCCAGTAGATGCAGATCTCCTGGTGCCGGCACAGTAGCTCCAGCACCGTCCGGAAGCCTGCAGCCGTGACGAAGGAGTCGCTGGAGCCCGTGCCCTCCTGCCAGGCGTAGATAGTCAGCAGCTCCAGGGCATACTTGGGGGGCAGGTCTGCGGTGGGGTACTGTGGCTTCAGCAGCTGCGGGGAAGACAGGGACAGGGGTGAGAACCGGCCAAGGCAGGTGCCTGGTGGGTGCTGGGGAAGCCGGCCAGCCCCTCACCTCCTTGTACCAGTACTTGACCAGGCGCAGGAGGTTCTTCAGCTTTGCAGGGCAACGTTTCACAAACTTCTTCTGCAGCTCAGTGAAGCAGGGGGAGAACTCCCCGGGGTCGCTGCTGGCATTCAGGAGCCCCACATACACCTCAGTGTATAGCAGGATATCCCGGCTCACCTGCCCTGTGGGGCGAGGAGGAGGGTGAGGCCCATCCCAGCACAGGTGCCACAGCCTGGCCCCATGCCAGCCCGCAGCCCTTACCCAAGGCGTCATAGGCGGGCAAGATGTCTACTTCAATGGACTCCAGGGTCTTCTTGGAGCAGAGAGTGAGGCTGAGAGAGCGTGGTGTATTGTTGGGACCCTTGTAGCGGGGCTCACTGATGTTCACGGTGAACGTCAGGGTCTGCTTGCAGGCATGCAGCCTCTCCTTGATCAAATCCAGGATGTACTTTCTGTCCTGCTTCTGCTCCTGGTAGCTGGAGAAGCAGCTGAGGAAGAGCACCACATCGGCATCAGATTTGTTCTGCAGGGCTGTGCCCTTGCCCGCTGAGCCACCCTGCAGAGAGATACCCAGCACACTCAGCGCTGCTGCCCTTGGTACAGTGGTCACCTGTCACCATTCCTGGAGCTGCCAGAGGAAACTGGGCAGGGCAGGAGCTGGAGCAGCAGGAAAGAGGAAAAGGTAGCAGCAGGGGTGCCGGGTGGTACCCGAGCCAGGCAGTGCTCACCTTGACAGTCTTCTGGACGCGGATGTTCTCAAAGCAGTCCTCTTTCAAGAAGTCGCAGATCTGCTTCACAGTCTCCTTCACCTGCCTGCAGAAGGCCGTGCTGGGCTGCAGGACCTCCATGATCCAGCGGTCCAGCTTGTTGGCGGTCACCTGGTGCAGCGCATCTGTGGATGTCACCAGCCCCAGGTCC